AGAGTTTGCGCCAAGCCACACTAGCAATTATTCTTCAGACTCTGTCACTAGAAGCTAGCAATGAAGCAACTCTCAAGTGTGTTTATGTAACACATATTCTGATTATTTATATACAATGATGTAGAATCTACATAAGTAAAACACACATCAAATAAACCATTGTTCTTTCTATACTTTGTTATCATCAAAACTAAAAGAGAACATGTCATAAACAAATCTTGTTCTAACAAAAGAAACCAATAAGAATTCATTCTTTCCATGGGAAGGCTTTGTATATTCCTCCAATGTGTCTGTTTTTACCAAGGAGGGTAGCCTGGATAAGCCTTTATTTAAGTGGGGGAATCATTGCTTTGGATGCATCATCCCTCTTTACGAATGTCTCTTCTCAATCTCGAGTCTTTGCTTACCTTTTACTACTTTTAGGGTTGACGCTTTTTACCATTTGATGGTGGATCCTTCACAACTCCATCCATCGAGTTAGGCGCATATAACGGCTTACAAATACCGATGTGAATATCTGAATGGGAACCCTTCCATCACCTTATTTTTCCATCTTTTTCGTTGTCACCGTGGTACTTTGGCGCAAATAAGAGAACAAGCGTTAGTTTCCTTGGTGCCGACAATACAAGTCTTTGAGGACTTTCCTAAGTTATCATCCTTTACTGATCGATTCTTACTAATTACTCCCCTTCATCCCCTGGCTCATGCGACTGTTTGTAGGTCGGGCCAGAAGTAGGGAGTAAGTGTAAGCTGTAACACCATATTTGCCCAACGCATAATTATACGATAAAATTAAAGTATTCACACAATCAAATAGGATGTCAAACATTCTCTTAGGGTGACTTCGCATGCTCATCTTCACCTTTCACAACGAAATTTCAAATACTTTAACTCATTTAATTTCAAAGACTTTAAAACATAAATGGAATCATCAACGCAATCTCTTCAAAATCTCAAAACATCAACCACGAGAGTATACTTTAACTCTCTACTCAACACAACATAAGATAAATCACAAATGTTTTCTCCAATGTTACATATCAGAGCACGTAAATTAAAACACATAAAGAAAAGAAGAAACAACCTCATGCCATCCTCCACTCAAAGCTGCTAATCAATTACCCACTTATTTGTACTCCGAATAGGAGCATATGCCACAACAACCACAAAGGGGTGAGAAATCACAAATAATAATAATAATAGGCATATACTGCAAGGTTGGATAATAAGACAACATTCTCTACACAATATCATTCACAGTATATCATAATACATTCTCACACCCAACTCATCAATCATTCACAAATCAATAAAATGCATATAACTAATTATGTAATGCAACTCAACTATGCAACTCCATTCATATGCATATGGTACCAACTCGATATTTGGTTCTCTCTAGAACCGGGTCCCTTCTTTTGAACCCATGAACCCCTTTTTTCAAGCTCCGAGCCCCCTCTTCTGAGCATGAGACAAGTCGGAAGTCTACTCTTTTGAACTAGCATACATACCTCTTGACACAACTCTTATGATGCATGATCATATAATCAAATCAACAGTGCAACACAAGCATGCTAATAATTCATCTCAACAAAATTATATTTCAAACAACACATTAATTCAATCAACTCATTGTGCAAATATAATGATCACAACAATTAATCATACAACGTTCCATAAACAACATAAAAACATAAATAACATACAACAATCTAGTTCCCCCTTCGAACTACCACCACCATATCGACAATTATGCATATTCACATACAAGAATCACACAACTCAAATATTCATACATCATATGCAACCAAATTTATGCATATAAAACATCATCTTTCATTAATCACATAACAACACCAAATAACATTATCAACTTAATTATAACTACCAAATGATTTTTCTAAATTAATTATTAACACTCGACAACCAAATGTAATCATGCAATTAATTAATTTAAGTCACCCAAAACATTCCCAACAACAATTAACATGAATCGCACGACAACACAACACATAAAACCCAACACAGCAGCTAGAAACACAACCACCAATATTATACCTTAAATAAAATAGTATATTCACATCATTAAGTGCACATTCAACCTCTTAAGGCATCACCATGATATGGTACTACACGTTAGCTTTCCAACACTTCGAACCGCATCCCAAACGGAGTCACGAATCTCAAAGTTATGATATTTTTCTTAGGCATAGTAGAATTCACGAGGGTTGACAAACGTCACCCATAACTGGATTTTTCCCTACGGCCAGTTCGTCGCTAAATTTCAGAATACGCGGGTAAATACCCAGAACTTACTTTTCGGTGTTTTTCACCATAAAAGCGCTTTTAGACCTCCGATTCCGATTATGTAAAAAGCTCTGATCTCAAAATTTGACATACAACAATTATCAAATGTTTAAACCACAAATTCATAATTTATCACAAATTAACATAAACAAAATCATGTATTTTCATACTTTCACATTTAACCCAAAACTTCAAACCTTCGACGATGGTGAAAAATATTAAAAGTTTCAAAACAGTAATCACATACCATATTTTACACGAAAATACACATCAATTCAGCTAATCAACGTTATAATATCATAGAAACTCAAAATTTCTTGTACAACTAAATGTTCTATTAGAGGTTAAGGACTCATCTACCCTACCTCTCATGCATAAGCCCTATTGAAAACTAATCTCTCCCCTTACCTTAGAATTCCAACAAGCAAACTATTCTCCAATGATTTTCCTCTCCTCTTCTAGCTATAAGGTTATCCTTTTGCCTCTTGCCTCTTCCTCGAGTTCTCCAAGAATTGAATAAAACTTAATTCTCCTTCACTTTTTAGAATATATATTTTGATTTTTCTACACAATCTCTTCTAATTACCTCATTAGCTTCCAACTTATTCTCTTAAATATCTTTATTGCCCCTTATTTCTCTACTAACTCTTATTTTCTCTATTAATTAATTAATTAAATAATTTCTATCATAAAGCCACACTTTTCTATATTTAATTACTCTATTCTTATTATTTTATGTCTAATAATAAAATAATTAAATTCACTAAAAATGCTACTAATTATATTATTCCATTTAATAATTAAAACACTATTATTTTAATTATTCGACCACTTCTACATTATCGCCATACTACTATATTCTTCTCAACCATCTCACTACACTCCACACACATAAAATAATATTTAATTTAAACTAATATGTAAAATCATATAACAATACTAGATCACTCAAATACAAAAATTAACTTAATTAAATAATTAAACAAAAAAAATTGGAATGTTACATAAGCCATTATTTCCCCATTGCTAGTCGGCAAAGCATTTAGCTCCTATGTTTATAAAGAGTGAGACTTTTTTTATGAGGACTCATATCAAAAGAAAATATTGATAGTCTTTGTCAACAGACTGGGTTATCTTGGAGGTGGAGTTCCCTTGGCTGAGGCCGATAGGAAATGCTTGAAGTGTTCGATTGATGTTTTATTGCTGATAGGGGTCCGCTCTCGCGAGGACCATCAGGTTGCCTTTGGTAAGTTTGAAACTTCTTTCATTCTTTTGATGTTTGTTTGCTCCTTATTTTGGTGTTTGCATGGATAACAATCATGTTTCCATGTAGATGTGATGAAGGACGAAGTGCGTGTCTGAATCTTAAAGCGATGAATACAACCACTAAATAATATAGTAGATTCTCTGCTTCCTTCAGAATCTCCTCAGAATGTCGCTCTCTTGCTTGCCCTTCAGGGTTTGTAAATGAATCCCAAGACGAGTCCCTGTCCTTCTCGTGAGCGCTAAGATTCAGCCTTTGATGACGATGCGACGTTCTTTGCCAATTTTTCCTGGCATAATCTAGGGGAAGAGTTGAACAGTTGGCGCAATTTTCTAAGAAGGCTTCTATTGATCTAACTATAGGTGGGTCTGATTGTTAGGAAACTCTTTTAGGGACTAAAAGCCTAATCTTATATATTTAGAGGGACTGCAAATATATTTAACTCTTAAATAAAAATTGGTTATAAGCTTTAAAATCGATTATAAAACACATAATGAATTACAAAATTTGGTTATGAATATAACATGATTTTTTAATTGGTTTTGTAAAAATAAAACCATTTAGGTGGATTGGTTATATAATAATCGATTATGTTAAATAATTATAGAATCATTATGAATTGGTATGTAAAAAAACCAACCATGAGCATCGTTAGACTCAATCATATCCTTCATATTCTTTAACTGATTAGTTTTTATTCTAAAGAGACATGATTTCATTAGTTATCTCTTTCTCATTCTTTATATTTCTATTCTTTGAGTTATAATTTAATTTTATTGAGAACATCATAAGAAACATTGTTCGTCTAATCTTTTTGTCATTTTTAAGAGAATCGAACGTGCCACTGACTTTTAAAATAGCTTTGACAATCATTATAACACACTCAAAATTCTTGAGATGTCAATAAACTTTCATGAATATAAAGCTTGAGTTTAAGCGAATGAACAATACATTAGAATTGATTCTCATAAATTAATTAATACGTATGTAATTTTGTTTTGACTTTAATTGATTCTCCATAACAGACGGGGAGATTGGTCCACAAGACTGTAAGAACAAAACTATCAATTAATAATAACTTCAATAGAATAGTATAAATTCATGTTTGGACTTATTTTTTACAAGTGAATAAGTTACCATCAACAAAAACGCAATATATTTTTTAAAAAACCATTGAAAATGCTCTTACACATAATTTGAGTACCATAATTTTCTTTTGCCTTAAATTCTATTATTTATTAAATTATTTTATTATTTCTTACTCAATCAAATAGTTAATTTTTTTTAAAATAATCACTTTTGTAGCATGAATTTTATTTTTGAATACATAGTATATATTAATTAATTGATTTTTAAAAGATGAAAAACAACCAAATAGGAACTAAGAACTCCCAAAACCCTCCAACTCCAACTCTACCCGGTTGTAACCATGGGGAAGAAGAAGCAGCGCCTGACAACAGACGCAGACGCCGCACCGGAGCTAGACCCAATCACCGGAAACAATGACAAATCTCACAGTAAGAAGAAGCTCAAGAAGCATAAGAAGATCAAAACAAACGAGATACCCACTGTCAGCATAGCCGTTCCCGCTTCCATCATTGACAACGTTCCAACCCTAGAACTCGCCACTCGGGTACCCATTTCAATATCCCTTCCATTTCCAACACAAAAACGTCAATTTTGTTCGAAAAATATGAACTTGATTTTGTTGCATATTCATTCTGAATGTATATTGTTTGGTTTTCCCTTTTCAGTTGGCTAGTCAAATCGCTCGCGCCGCAACTATTTTTCGAATCAATGAGGTTGATAATGTTGTTTTATGCATTTTCAATGTTGCTTTTATTAGTGTTATCATTATATGTTGTTGATATAGGGAACTGTTATTTGTTTATGTGTGTGCATAGGTGGTTGTGTTTGATAATAGAAGTAATACGGATAAAGATTATACAGTGGCAGAGAATTCAGATGATGAAAGTAGTTCGGCTTTTCTTATGCGAATTTTGCAGTATCTTGAGACACCTCAATATCTGAGGAAGGCGCTTTTCCCAATGCATAACAGCTTAAGATTTGTGGTTGGATTGATTTTCTTGCAAATGCATTTTCTGAAGTTCGATTATGTTGTTGACTGTTTGTTTAGTTCATGCTTAATTTTAGTTGTTTGTATTGCTTTTTGCAGGGAATGTTGCCACCCCTTGATGCTCCACACCATTTGCGCAAACACGAGTGGGGTCCGTATCGGGAAGGTAGGTCATTGTTTTCTATTAGAATTTTTAATTTCAGTTGTGGATGGAAAGTGTCAAGAAAATTTATTGAAAAATGATTTAGTCTCCATCGTTAAGTCAGTTTGAAATTTGAAATATGTTAAGGCATGGAGCAGTTGAGGGCCTTTAATTTTTGAACCACACATTGTGTTCTAAAAGGGTTGTAGTTCGTAATTGCAAAGTCGCTGTCAAACTACAGGAAAATTATACCATACAACTACAAGGCTATAGATGCTCTATGCTAGTGAATATTTGGCAGCAAGGTACTAATAGAAGTATAGACAAAAATACTAAAGTAAATGAGCATGAATGCATGAAAAAGAGATGAAATCCAGAATGAAATTATTTGGTTGAAAGTTGGAATTGGAACGAAACACCTAAAAAGAGAAGGGGCCCTTTCTCTAAATGAGTATATAAAATTTGGTTTTTCGTGTGTCCAGTGGTGTTGATTAATTCTTCGATCACCTCATTTTTGGGATAATGATTGGTTATTTACTTGTAGATTCTCCCTAATGGATACGTAAAGGGTTGATAGCCTTTATCTTGTTGGTTAGCATTTGTCGATGATTGGCACTGTTTGTTTCCAATTTGTGTAATCCTTTTCCTTTCTCAAGACTTAAGAAGGCTTCTTGTTTGAACTACTTTTTCTTTAGCTCTTTATATCTAAATAACTGTTGAAGCAGAAACATGTTTCTGCATTGGTGTTGCTATTACACTTTTGTTGTTTTGTTCCATGGTTACGATGGCCAGGTTTTGATTCATTGCAATAACTTCTTAGGTGTCACAATAAAAGGACATTCAAACTCTGGCACAACACTAGTTGATGTTGGCTTATTTAAGGTATGGGTATACATTTTATAGATTTTTTTAACCTGAAACTTAATTTATTTATTTTTACTTTTCTTTCATTTCCCTTGATTCGCCTATGACATCCTGCCCAAGGACATTTTATTGTCTTATTCATATTTTCGAAAATCTTTGCCATGTAGTTTATTTGGACATTGGCTTCTGATAACAAGTTCAACAAGGGTTGTATCGAATGTCATATCACTGTTCCCGTTTCTCTTATTCCTTCCCTTTTCTTCTATTTTAATTTGAAAATTGCAATGTTTGTTAATAAACATTACATTTATAGATTATTAGATTGTGGTAGAAGAGGGACAATTGCAATGTTTATTCTAATGATATTTCTATCAAGTAGACTTGAGTTGGTTTCTGTATGATCTGATTCACTACACGGTATATGCAGCATGTTGCAGTTGACCAAATACTTGAACCGGGAAGAAGAGTTACCGTGGCCATGGGTGCCAACCGCAATTTGGATTCTGGTAATCAATTGATATTTGCTTATCTTTTATTAATTCTCGCGTGATTTAACTGCGGTAGCATGCTTCCATGCTCTTCTTCTTTGTTGGAGAAACATGCTTTCTATTTATATCTGACATTCTTCCTTTGTTTTTGTGACTCTTTCTATTCTACATATCCTATGATCTTAAAGTATTCTTTTGGGTGCCTTGCAAATGTATAATGCCATTATGATTCTTTCTTGTTTGAAAGACAATTTTTACAATTAAAAGTCATTCCATAATTTCTTCTCGGCTGTATGAATTTAAGCTGATTTGCAGCTCTATACTTTATCTAGATTTACCACGCGAGGTTGTCTCATCATCCAAGCCTAGGGAAGAAGGAGCATATTGGGGATATCAAGTGCGTTATGCTCACAATATTAGCGCAGTATTTAATGAATGTACATACAAGGTATCCTCTCACCTCTCAAACACACATCTTTACCTTTTAATACCTATAGCCTATTATTTATTGATCACCGTAATCCTTCTCATGAACTCTTTTTTTTGTTGACTCGTTATCATGACAGGGTGGCTATGATTGTATAGTCGGTACCTCTGAGCATGGTCAGATTATCAAGTCATCTGAACTTAAATTACCTTCCTTCAGGTACTCATGTTTTAACATCAGCTGCAAAATCATTATTGTTAGATTGGTTCGGTGCCATTTTTAAGCGTTCCATTTTGGTTGATGCTGTAAGATATTTTTATTTTTATTGTTTTATTAATTGATTCATTCATTGAATTTGTAGACATTTATTGATTTCCTTTGGTGGATTGGCTGGGTTAGAAGAGAGTATTGAGGAAGATGATAACTTCAAGGTATTGCATTATTCCATTCCGTTATTTGTGATTGTTGTGACTCCCTTCCCCTCCCTTTGAGATTACTACCAATCAGGGAGAGTCCGTAAGTTTGGCAGAATTTTCGGTCACACGCCTTTCTCTGTTGTGGTGCTTGTGCAACACATCTTGGTTTGATATACTAATTAGAAATAGAAATGTAACACATTTGTGTACAATTTCTTAGGTTCTAATGTCATGGTAAATGAAAAAGAAGGTAACACGATGCTAAATATAGATTTTCTTGCTTAAACCCCATGAAAAACGCAGGGAAAAAATGCAAAGGAAGTATTCAGTTTATATTTAAACACGTGTCCAAATCAGGGGAGCCGAACAATTCGAACAGAGGTACTATACGCATAATCTTGGTCAATTTTGTTTCTATTAATTTCTGTATTCAGTTCTCAGTCAATACTTAATCCTCATCTTTTTGTATAGGAGGCTATTCTTATATCTCTTCAGTACTTCCAAGAACCGATAAGCCGAGCAATGCTGCGTTGAGTATTGTTGTATTCTCAAAATTTATGTAGTTCAGACATTGATTCTCCGAATTATGATAGTAACAGAAACAGAAACACAGGAAAAATTTTCAAAACCAGAAATAGAAATTGGCCTTCTAACTTCATCCTGGACTGGCCATGATGTTATGTTATGGGATTCTTCTTGAAGACTCTTATGGAAGTAGCGGTACTCGATCGTTGTAAGACTTGCAAAGAGTGTTCCATCTATCTATCTATATCTGTATATGAAATAATTCAGAAATAGAATTGCTAGTCATGATTTTGTCTCACCAAAGAAGGCCTGATGCAAATTCAGGTCTCTTTCAATCAACTTGTTAAGAGTTTAATTTATAAGTACTTGTGATTTTTGTTATAAAGGTAACTTACATAAACATTTATAATATAAATATAATGTTTTAAGTGTTTAATTAAGGTGTTTATTTAAATGAAACCTCTATCGTTTATGTTTTTGCAGATTACATAAGTTAATATTTTAGTTAGTCATGAGGTAAAAATATATCTCCTTATATATATATATATATATATATATATATATATATATATATATATATATATATATATATATATATATATATATATATATATATATATATATATATATATATATATATATATATATATATATATATATATATATATATATATATATATATATATATATATATATATATATATATATATATATATATATATATATATATATATATATATATATATATATATATATATATATATATATATATATATATATATATATATATATATATATATATATATATATATATATATATATATATAATATATATATATATATATATATATATATATATATATATATATATATATATATATATATATATATATATATATATATATATATATATATATATATATATATATATATATATATATATATATATATATATATATATATATATATATATATATATATATATATATATATATATATATATATATTATATATATATATATATATATATATATATATATATATATATATATATATATATATATATATATATATATATATATATATATATATATATATATATATATATATATATATATATATATATATATATATATATATATATATATATATATATATATATATATATATATATATATATATATATATATATATATATATATATATATATATATATATATATATATATATATATATATATATATATATATATATATATATATATATATATATATATATATATATATATATATATATATATATATATATATATATATATATATATATATATATATATATATATATATATATATATATATATATATATATATATATATATATATATATATATATATATATATATATATATATATATATATATATATATATATATATATATATATATATATATATATATATATATATATATATATATATATATAATTTAAATTTTATTGATTATTTAATTTAATTATTTTTGAAAATATTTTTTTGTATAAATAATTAATTGAAATTGTTAGATTAATGAAAATTGAAGGTTTTAAGATATGAAGGAAGTTTTTATAGTTACTCTTGAAGTAAAACTATGTATCTTGTGTGTGTATATATATACTTTATTTTATTTATGAAAATTGTTATATACTAATAGTGGAAAATCTCATTCAATAATAATAATATAACAGAATAATTTATTCTGGTATGTCATATAAGTTTAAAATTTTCAGTATAACTTAGTGGAATGTATGATCGTTATTGGTTGACACTATAAATTTTTTTTATAGTGTTAGTATATTTCTTTTTATATATTTATTTATTTATTTTAAATTCTTATTTAGTTTAAAATTTAAAAAGTCTATTTTTTATCTTCCAAATATGATTATGGATTTGCCACTGAACATTTAATGCACAAAAATTCTTGAAGTAGTAGAAACAAATAAGTGAGGAGAAACACCACTAGAAACAAATAAGTGAGGAGAAATATCGAAATTATAGAAGAAGAAAAAATACGGATTTGGATTCTCTCCTTTTTTATATTTTCTGTCATCTCTCATGTTTCTAATCTAACGGTTCAAAATTTATAATGAATAATTAAATAAAAAAATTAGATTAATTAAATAAAATTACTTATCTATTTCTCTCTCCTATTAAATGATTTTTTTTTATTTAGGCTTAATTGCAACTTTGGTTCTCCTATTTTGTGTTTTTTTGAGTTTTGATCCCCCCATTTTAAAAATCACGATTTTGATCCCTTTTTTAGGTTTCAAGATTAATATTAGTCCCCTTCTCATTTTAAGTCATGTTTTTAATGAGGTGGCACGTTGACTGCTGATGTGGCATTTCCATGTCATTAACTTAAATATTAATTCATTTTTACAAATTTAATAAAATAAAACTTAAATAAAAAACCTCATTAACTTAAATATTATTTCATATTCATCTTCAACCCATTGTAACCATTTTCATCTTCCCATTTTCATTTTCACGAACGAATCAAACCCCAAACCCAGTTCTGCATGCCATTGTAACCCATTTTTCTCAACAAACCCATATCAGCCCTCCTATTTACCGACATGTCCGAAACGAATTTATCTTGTTCCTCAACAAACCAGTCTAGGTCTGGTATAAGAAAAAGAGGTAATAGATGTTGGTGTGAGCTTGAGTCACCGTTGATGACGTCATGGACATACGATAATCCCGAAAGAAGATTTCATGGGTGTGGTAATTTTAAGGTGATGAGAAAAAAAGGATGTAATTACTTTCAGTGGGTTGATGAAGACATGAGCAGTCGTGCTAAAGATGTGATAAGATCTTTGAAAGAAAAGAATGAGGAGCTCATGGATGTGATTAAGGACATCAAGAAAAATGAAGATTTGTTGAAGATGAAAATTAGGTTTATGTATTATTTTGTGGGGTTATCTTTGATGTTTGTCTTTTTAATTGTGTTTGCATTAGTTGCAACACATGTACTCAAATGATGTAATGTCAAGTGTTGTAGTTACTTTGATGTTTATGTAGTTTCCAAATGAACTAATTTTAAATGAAGAGTTATGATTGTCTGTGTTAATGAAGAGTTATGTTGTAGTTACTTTGATTGTCTTCAAATGATGTTTATGGAGCATTAATCTGCAGAGTACTGGAGAACATTAATCTAGTAAGTCTGGAACTGCATCAGCTGCAATACTTTGAAATTATATCCAATAAGTGCACTATGTATCATTACAAAGTGTGTGCATTACTGCTGTAGTTACTTAAGCAGATTACAAATGGTATAAGGAACAAGATTGTGAAAAGAATACACACAACTATAACCACCAACTTAGAAATCCATTGTTTCATGAAAGATTCCGAAAAGAAAGGTCAGTAAACATCATGAGGTTGCGGAGCAGGCTCGGTAATCCACTGAGTTGGATTGATTGATGGTTGCAAATGGAAATCAGTTGCAGCAGCGTAACGCGACTTGAAGAACACAAACGCAGCTCGAGCCTCCTTCAACACCGAACAACAATTCACATTAACAAAACGAAATGCATTTATAGAATCTGTTCTTTTTGGTAAAAAAAATTGATGTGAACCTTATGACTTGCTATCTATTTCTGTTATGCTGAATTAGTTTGGAGTATGATAAAGTTAGTTGATGTAATTAGTTAGTTTGTTTGGTTAGTGTAATTGAATTTTGAAATGGTTAGCATGAAAACTGTTATGAACTGCAGCTGTGGTTAGACTTGAAACTAAGTTACCTGTAATATATTGATTCAGTTAATTTGTTTAGAAAAGGTCAGTTGATGTAATTAGTTAGTTTCATAGGTTAGTGCAATTGAATTATCAAATTAGCTTAGAGTTTATGTGTCATGTGGCTTAGGATTTATGCTTTGAAGTACTGGTCTCATTTAGAGAAGAATTTGACACAGTAGTAAAGAACACTTCATAACATATCTGTTATCAAAAGTTAACAGTGAATGTATACACTTCATAACAGCAGAAGTTCTGTTTTGGCTCTTGCAACAGAAGTACAAAACCGATGTATCATTACATTGACGGAAGCATTAAAGACAACATATTTTAACAAAAAGACATTAAGAAAACATATAACTATTCTTGGGTTGGTGGCGGTGCTTGCGACCCTCCGTCTACAACAGTTTCTCCTGCTTCGTTGCCCGACTTGTCACCGTTTTTTTAGATTTTTTGTTGCCACCTTTAGGAATCGCTCTCTCCGCAACTCGCTTCCCTTTACAAGTTCGTTTGTTATGGCCAAAACTCCCACATTTCTTGCACTTGACAGTTTGAAGAGTTCTAGGCAGTGTATTTCTCATCCTCGGTTCATCATTCGCCTTGTTACGATTCTTCTTAGGACGACCGATAAATCTTCGCATGACTGGAGGGCTGATTGGGTTAGCAACATTAACAGGCCATAGTTGTGGGCCATTGGTTGGCATGATGATATGGCTATAAGTAGCCAGAACAGTAGATTTCCTAGACAATATGACACAATGATTTTAGTTAACGTACAAAAAAGATGAATGTAAATGAACATAATATACGAGTAGGTGATACCTATAAAATGATGAAACGTATTCTTCGGGCTCCTTCTTGTTATACCATATGCATGCAATAGCATGACAACACGGTATTCCACTTAAATCCCACTTCCTACAACCACATTTCTGTTGAAGCAAGTTCACAACATATGTCTCAACACCGTTTGAAACTCCGAATATAGCAAAGTCATCATCTGCATGCCATGTTGCAATTTATTCTTCTGCTTCCCTCTTTGTTTTTTCCAAGACTTTTTTGAATGCTAGGACTTATAACACCTGTGTACCTACTTAATTTCTCCTTTTGAGCAGATATTCTCACTGTTATGTAATGTTTGATTCCTTCAAGTAGTGAAATGATCGGCTTATCTCTATACTCCAAGATTGCACGATTAAAAGCCTCACACATATTGTTGACTTGCAAATCACATTGTGTGT